TCCAGGATATCCTACATAGATCCCCCTCCAGGTGGTTGACAGTGTTCGCCAGGCACCATCTAGTTCTTCTAGTCCACAGTCATATAGGCTGCAGATTTCATGGTGTACCAGTCACTAGGACTAATTGTTTCCATGAATCTTTGGTTTTCTTCATTCTTCTTTCCTCTGGACGAGGAGAGACCCATCATTGCATCTAGATGGCTGCTTGCAAGCTTTTAAGGTCCCAGTTGCTACTTGCCAAAGTAGGAGGTGGAACAATGTTTTGTGTAGTATGTTATAACAATTGAGCTTGATGTCCCCTGTGACTATGGTCCTGAGCCCAAAGGTTCAACTACTCGGTCCCTTGGGGTAGCTAGCTGTGCCCAAAAAGTGACTACAACCTTGTTCCTTGTCAGCTGTACTATACACCTGAGAATTCTTACAGAACATACAAATACACTTGTATAATCATTGTCTGCCAACCCTATACATGCCATTTTTATTGTCTATTTTCAAATTAAATAAGATTGGTACAAAAGAAAATCTAGAGGAAGGAGGCCAGAATGCTATACTGGAAATTCCCTAGCCAAAAGTTAATATTCTAAAGAACTGGACTCTTTTATCCCAGCAAAGTTAACATGGATAATAAAATTTTAAATTAAGAAACTTATAAATTGTAAGAAGAATAAACTAGTGTTAAAAAGGGGTCTTGAAGAGACCAACTGTGTTGGAGCTACGAACTTATAGAAAGATTTTCAAGACATTTTATTACAAAAGGATCCAAGATGTTGGGTCTAACAAAGGTAAATGTCACAAGAAACTGAAACTCAGACCCAGACAAATACACACACATATATAGTTTTACCTTGCTGCGTTGGGATCCTGTGACCTTAAGGAAGGATGAGGACAAGAAGCAAAATAGCAATAAACAATTGCTCTGAAGACAACTGAGAGAGTGTAAATGGTGTGCACTTCAGAAAAACAATTTTATTTGCCACCCACAACTCAGTCCAATTTGCTGCCCTTTCTTATTAGTGAAGATGAATTTGAGAATGGGATATACATGTATTAGAAAATATTACAGTGTCATATAGGAAATTAACCACCTTGTGACGTGTTTCTCAGCCAGCAATAATCACAGGTTCATGGCAAATTACTATTTGTTTTAAATTTTTTTAAACACTGACTTCAGTGCTACAGAGATGCTCATATTAAATTGTTATTGGAAGGAATATTGCAGTAAAACTACCCCTTGGCTATATCTTTTCATGGGCCCTCTGTCATTACATACCCATTGCTGCTTAATGACATGTTTCTAGACTTCCAACTCAATGTCCTGACATATAAATTAATTTAAAAAAAAATTAAAGAAAAACAAGAATCTAGTCTATTTCTTTCCACTTAGTTTATTTTTGAAAATTCTAAAAAACAAAAAAACAAAAAAACAAAAAAAAACACACACAAGAAAAGGAAAAAATATTTAAGAGTGGTTCGCAACAACTAGTTTTTCTAAAAACTAAAATAAAATACAGTAGAAGCAAACGGGCAAAATATTTACTTTCCTTCTAGCTAATTAACATTAAGCAGCATTTCATATCATGAAATATTTAAAAGCTGACAATATTTGAGACAATAATCATAAAATAGAATACAGTCCTAGGAACAGATGCACTCCTACCTCATGCAAGCAAATGGCATTGTGTGCCACCATCTACATATGTACAAGGAATGAGTGACTGAATTGGGCAGAAATCGAAAGGTGCCAATTCATTAAAACGTCTTCAATTCAGAAGAAAATAGCATACCAACTGTTTAAGCAAAAACTCAATGTTGTGTTGCTCTTCAATAAATATTGTCCTCACATTTCTGTTGGAAATTCCAGACTACAATATTCACTGAGATGAGGAAAATATGAAGCAATCTCATCTCTGAGGTTTCTCAAGAACACTCATTCTGAACATATGCTTTTTTTTTTTAAAGTTGTTATTATGTCACTATTCTATATCCCTTCATTTTAACTTCAGCAAATATTAGGACTCAGATTTGTACATCCAGCTTCTGACATGCAGTTCCTTGACACAATAAGCTGCAATAAGCCATGACGCAAGAAACATAAATGTCAGTTATAAGCTATGAAATAATGTTTCAAAATATGCAAAAGATAAATCTAGAAAAATCCACCTTACTTCAAAACTTTTCACTTCTTCTTCACCATCATCATCTTCCTCATCATGACAACTCTGATACATGTAAAAGAAAAAGTCAACAGGAACAGGATGAAGCAGGGGATAAAAAATTTGACATGAAATAGTAATCATTTGTATTAGTTTTGGTCCATATCATTAACATTGTTTAACTATATACAATATATAACATACAATAAGCTTGGACAGCATGAACAATGAATACATGGTCCAAAGAAGATTATACATATTTTCTGCTTTTATAAAATCAAAATATTAAATTATCTGTTTTATTCATGACATAGAGATATTTGTCAGGCTAATACCATACTACACCTACTACTTATTCACACATTTGCCTTGTTCAAACAAAACTTCATACTTTAAAGACAAGAATCATTGTTTGCTGTATTTTACCCTGCCATTACAGTGAATTAATACAGGTACATGCAATAATCATTAATTAAAATTAATAGAAAACAATAACCATTAATTGAAATGAATCTTCAATTTTTTTAAAAAAATCAGTGTTTATTATATTTGGTAAAAAGGAAGAAAGTGAAATTCTAACTACAACTTAAAAAAAGTGAGAAAACTGTTTCATCATTTTGAAGTTAATTTTCTAGAAATGATAAAGAAGCGGTGTTAAACCAAGAATGTATTTTAAAAAAATTTTTAAATGCATTTTATTGAAATATAATTTATGTACAGTGAAATACACAAAACTAAAGTGACGGGACAATTTTTTTTTTTTTTTTTGCAGTGCTCCCTCCCCTCCCTTCCCACCCCTGGCAACCAACAAAGAAAGTTTCCCTCCATATATAAACCTTTCCTTGACCCTCCACAACAACAAACTAATACTATATTTGTCTTTTTGTGATTGACTAATGTAACTCAGCATAATGTCCTCCAAGTTCATCCATATTATGCTGTGTTTTGCAGACTCTACATTATTCTTTAGTGCTGCATAGCATTCCATTATGTGTGTGTACCATAGTGGCTCATCCACTCTTCCACTATAAATCTTAGAGATAAGTCCCTTGCCAGATATGTAATTATTGGCAAATATGAATTTGTTGCTGTTTTTGTTATGTGCTTTTTCATGGTGTCAATTTCTTTGTTCCATATAATTTTCTATGCTGAGCTCGTTTTGTTTATGAATCATGTTATCACTTCCTTCATTGCTATTGTTTTAGTATTTGCTAAATATTTATGCTGGTCCTCTTTTTTGATGTGAAGCTTTATCATTTTTCTTTGTGGTTACCCTGTGATTTACAGTTTTCTTCCCAAGTTTAGAACAGTCTGTTCTATCTTGTAGTTGTCTTGACTTCCTTACCATCTAGAAGTTCTGTAATGACACAGGTTTGTTCCTCTTTTTGGTTTGTAGTTGTCCTCAATTGTCAATTGATGTCTCTACTTCCCTGTTTACAATCTTGCAGGCTTCTTTACTTTGGAAACTTCCATAGCTGGGTAGTTTCTGGTTTATATCATCATGTGTGTTAATGGTCAGTTGTTGCTGGCTATTGTTGCTTCTCTGTCCAAAGGGCACCCTTTAGCATCTCTTGTAAGTTTGGTTTAGTTTTAACAAATTCTCTTTAATTTCTGCTTATCTAGAAATGTTTTAAATTCACCATTATATTTGAAGGACAATTTTGCTGGGTACATAATTCTTGGTTGGAAATTTTTTTTCTTTCAGTGTTTTATATTTAACATCCCATTGTCTTCTCACTTGCACACTTTATTTCGAGATATCTGAGGTTAGTCTTATTGGTTGCCCCTTGTAGGTAACATTTCATTTTTCTTGTGATGCTCTCATGATTCTTTCTTTGTCTTTGGTTTTGGTAAGTTTGATGATGATATGTCTGGGTAATTTTCTTTTGGGGTCTATTATGTTTGGGGTTCATTGGACTTCCTGAATGGATATATTCTCATCTTTCATCATACCAGAAAAATTCTCCTCCAACAAATCTTCAACAATTTTTTCTGTGGTTTTATTTGTCTCTTCCTGTTCTGGAATTCTGATTACATGTAGGTTATTCATTTTGATGGTATCCCACATGAACTTTAGCCTTTCTTCTTCTTGTCTTGATCTTTTTTCTGATTGATCCCATTCCAAAGAAGTGTTCAGGTATTTGCCTTCAATCTTCCTAATTCTGTCTTCCATTGATTCAATTCTGTTCCTTTGACCATTCAATGTGTTATCTATTTCTGAAAATTTAGTATTAATCTTCTGGATTTGTGTGTGTAGATTTTGTATCATTTCTAATTTTTCATTTATTTTGTCATTTTGCACTTGTATTGTCTTTTGAAATTGCTCTAGAGTTTTCTCTGTGTTTTCCTTGATCTGTCTTTCAATTTGTTGAAGATATCTGAAAATAATTCTTTTGAATTCCTTATCCAGGAGTTCCAATGCTGCATCTTCCTCAGGGATGTGTTTTGGGTCGGTATCCTGGTCTCTTGTTTCCTTACTTTATTTTGCTTCTTGGTGTGGACTATGATGCTCTGTTGTCTCCAAGGCATTGTGACATTTTTGTGTTTATATTTAATTGGTGATTGTATGTTGGAGTCACTTGCCCAGATTTTTGTTTTGTTTTGTTTGTATGTTATCTACACAAGTAGGATACTGTGCTCCTCTATTTGCTAGGTGACAGCACTTATACACTCACCACCTGTCTCCTTTCCTGTTGTCAGCCTCTTGTATGTCCCTGCCGACCTTGGCAAACAGAGTCTATTCTTAGGTCCCTGGAATTCAAATGAGAATGCTATCACTTTAAAATCCAAAATGGTTGCCACTTGTAAACATTCAAAATGCCTGTACCCTCGGTCACTTTAAATATCTAAAATGGCCACCACTTGTAAACATTCAAAATGGCTGCACCCTCGGTCACTTTAAATATCCAAAATAGCCACCATTGTAAACATTCAAAATGGCTGCACCCTCGGTCACTTTAAATATCCAAAATAGCCACCACTTGTAAACATTCAAAATTGCTATGCTCTCAGTCACTTTAAATATCCAAAATGGCTGCCACATGTATACAATCAAAATGTGCCTTCTGGACAGCAGAAAATCAACAGCTCATGTTGTCTCCCTCCCTGCTGTTTGCCTTCCTAGTCATAGGCTACCAGTGCAGTCATGCCTGCAGCTCTTGGCGACCAGGGTTGATCTTTAGGTCAATTCTTACGTCCCAAGACCACTTGGAAATACTCAGGCTGTTGGTCTCATCAGAGTAGCTGACAATCCACAGCTCCGACTGTCTCTGTACTTACTGTTTTCATTCAGGTTTTTCCACTAGTTGGTGCCTAATCCACTTCTGCATAGTTCCTTTCAGTGCTCAGGGCTCCAGGATTATCTTCTGTATCTTTATCAATCGGTTGTTCTTTTCTTTGTTGAAGGGGGTCTGTGTTGCTTATCTGCCCATTCCTCCAACTTACTGGAAGTCCATGAATGTGTTCATAACCTAATTTCCATATTTGAAATTTCTGGGTGCTAATAAAAGAGCTCTGGGGCATAGTGGATACGGCATTTGGCTGCTAACCAGAAAGTCAGTGGTTCAAACCCACCAGCTGCTCCATGGACGGAAGACGGGGAAATCTACTTCTGTAAAGATTTACAGCCTTTGAAATCCAATGGGGATCACTATGAGTCATTATCAACTTGATGTCACTCAGTTAGGTTTGGTTTTGGTTTAATGTAGCAGTGCGGTATGGTGGTTAAGACCATGAACTTGGAGGTAGAGTGCTTAACTCAAATCCTGATGTGGCTAATTACTGCACAAGTTTCTTCATTTTTCTGTCTTAGTTTAATATTTAAAATGGAATTAAAAAGAGTATCTGTGTTCTTCAATGTGGAACAAAACTCAAAATTATCTCTATCTCTATCTCTATCTATCTATCTATCTATCATCTATGACCAGGTTTGTTGGTCTGATAGAGCCTGGTGAAACTGCTGAGACTATGGCCCTTAGTTGCCCTGCCCTTCAGGTCTGGAATTGAACTCATTCCTGTGGCTTCCAGCCAAATAAAAGACTAGCATATGGGTTGAACATTTACATCAGGTAGATAAATTCCTTGGAGAGATCAGTCATGGGAGAACAGAAGGGAAGTGCATGCACAGGGAGACCACTGGGGGGAGCAGGAGTGCATGGGAGGGAAGGACACAGGGAAGAGGTAACCATGTGAAGGAAGTGGGAAGAGAGCTGTTACATTGTGGGAAATTGCAGTCAATGTCATAAGACAAAAAGTGTATGAACTGCTGTATGGAAAATGAAATTGCTCTGTAATCTTTAACCCAAATCACAATAAAATTACAAAAAAAAAGAAAGGAGTATCTGGGTTCTTGAGAGGATCACATGAGTTGGTTTATGTAAATTTTATGCCACTTTGAAAAACACACCTGAAAAACAATGTTTTCAATGAATCTCAGTTGCTATTATTATGTTTTGGAATTCAAAGTATAATAAAGGAACAGAAGAACCTGGTTGTTAACCAACACCTATAGAAGGAAGAAACCCACAGCTCTTCAAAGTCTGATTGTTTCAACACTTCTAACTATCTGCTATGTTTGATAAGTACCAACCTTTCAGTAAAGTATATAGATCTAGATGGCTAAATATAAGTTAAAAATTAGAAAAATTCTTTTAATTCAATGAATCACAGTACTTTGGATATAGAAGATCAAGTGGAGATGAAAGGGAGGGTACAAAATCCAATTCTTCTACACAGTGTTAAATTATAAAAAGTTTCTCACATTGTTTCATTAATTTGACAAATATGTATTGAGTGCCACTCTTTCCATTTACAATAATAGGCATGTGAACATGGTTTTGCAAGGAAAAAAACAAAGGTGGGAACAAAGACTGTAAATTTCACTATATGCGAAAGATGCAAAATGGCATGATTTACCACAAAAACAAAAGTGTTACTTATTTATTTATAATAAGATACTGGAAATTTCCTCTTATGAGCTACCTATTACCCCTGCTACCTATTATACAGGTTAAACTGAACATTTGAAAATAATAACCCATAAGAATCCATGAGAATGTTAGCAAAGCTATTTAGAAAGCAAATCTGTACATCTAATTTCTGTAGAATACAGAAAGGTTCCTAAGTGATACAAGTGGTATTTGTGCTAGACTACTAACTTAAAGGTCACCTGTTGGAACCAACCCAGTGGTACCTCAGAAGAAAGGTGATCTGCTTCTGTTCTAATAGAGACTGGTGAAACCCCTGAAACTATGGCCCCCAGTCTCACTCTCGTGGCTTCCAGCCAAACAACTGACCTACAAGGTGAACATTTACACCAGGTAGGTACACTCCTTAGAACAATCAACCACGGGAGATCAGAAGGGCAGTATTTGCACAGAGAGATAGCTCAGAGGGCAGGAATACATAGGTAAGAAGGACACAGGGAAAGGGTAACCACAGGGAGTAAGTGGAAGAGAGTTGTTCCATTACAGGGACTGCAATTAATATCATGAAACAAAATATGTATGAACTGTTGAATAGAAAACAAATGTGCTCTGTAAACTTTTACCAAATCACAATTTAAAACAACAACAACAACAACAAAATCTACAGCCAAGAAAATCTATGGAGCAGTTCTACTCTGTAACATACAGGCCTACAATGAGTTGGAATCAATATTGATGCCAATGGGTTTTTGCCTTTGGAATGTTGATTAGAATGGCAAATATAGAGGACTTTTTTTGCTTTATCTTCTCTTTAAGATTACTTATTCTACAATTTTCTCCCACCAGCAATAGTAATAAAGTGTAAAAAGCATAGGGATTTTATCAGGTAACAAGCATGTTTACTATTTAAGTAAATTTAAAATATTAATATAAATATCCTTTAAGTATATGAAGTCTTCAATTTTTATTAAATACATCAATTGCTTTATAAACTTCATCACCTTCAGAAATGCTAGGAGTAATAAGATTTAGATGAAGAACATAAAACATAATGTCCTTATCAAATATTCAACCATCTCCCCAGTGGAAAAGAGTTTAGATTTAGGTTGCAACTAGAACAAATGTAGTGGCAGATTTTGTTTCAGTCACAAGGAAGAGTTTTAAATATCCTACTTTCACTTGACTGTTAACCAGAAGGCTGGCGGTTCAAACCCACCAGCCATTCCTCGGAAGGAAGATTGGACAATCTACTTCCGTAGTGATACTGCCTCGGAAACCCAAGGAGGGGTCGCTATGAGTCGGGTCTGACTGGACGGCACATAACAACAACAACAACAACACCAACAACAACAACAACAACTCTCAAAGCAGAAGCTTCAATCTTTTAATCTGATCTGCATGTTCACCTGCAGAACATCCAGCCCATGGGATCCTCTGTCACCTCCTTTTTAATCAGCTTCCCTTATCCTTATCCCCTTACTTATGCTAATTAGGATCCATGATCCAACAACTAGTTAATATACTATATCCATTTGATCCATTTTCCTTCTGTAGTAACCTGGAAAAAATCCTTTCCTTAGGTGAATCTAATCTTCTGCATTTGGTTCTGAGAATTGTTAGAGAAAAGTCATACAACCAGGAAGACTAATACTTCCACAAATTTCATAGACAAGAATAAAAGATAGACTTTCTACTCTCCTGTGAATCCTATTTTAGTTTCTTGTCAATGTTCTTTCCCCATTTACACAGTGTCTGTTTTAGCTGTACTTTTCCACCAAACTCTCCTCTTCAGATCCCTTCCATCTACTCAGTCAGTCTTGACAGATGACTGCATTCTCTTGTTTAGAGAGAAAATAGATAACACTAAAAAGAAACTTTTCCAATCTGCCATTATTATCCTGCCCATCCTCCTCTCAATATCTTTCATCTTTTTGTCTTTTAACCCAGGATTTCTTTTAACTATGGGTTTCAACCCACTAATTGGACATGAAAAAAACTCTGTGAGTTATGTTAAAAAGCATTTTTTAAAAATAGAATAGAAAATATTAATCTACTCTATCAGTCCCTTCCCATATGCATTAAGTATGCTTAAATATCTCTTTTTAAAAATAGGAAGCAAACAAATGGCAAATCTACAATATAATTTCCTTTCAGTCTCATGAGTCTATCTATTTACTATTACCTTACATATTTCTCCTCCCTCTTGATCTTCCGAGTTAAGAAATGTCCATGTTACAATTCCTCACAACTGAACCACAACTCACATCCCTACAATATGGCACTTCCACAACTAATGCCCCTCTCCCACTGCTACCTCAATGCTTTAAAATTGTCCTCACTATGGTCCCATAATATACATGAAATACATGCTGGAGAATTTCAATCCTTACCTTGTTCAACCTCTCAACAGAATATGATTTTATTGACCACATATTTCTTCCCATTGCTCTCACATCAGCTCACACTTAATATTCTCTTGTGTATGTGTATGTTTTATGGGCTTCTTTTATTCTAATCATCTCTTACATTTCAGTATCCTTACAGGTTCTTCCCTAGGTCTTCTTCTGTTCATGGGTGATATCATACACTCTTCTGGCTTCAATTACTTACAATGTTGATGAATCCCACATCTGTATTTATAAGCCTTACCTGACATATTGAAAGCCAGACATGAATGCCTAATCACATGACAAACATCTTAACTTAGATGTCTCCCAGGCATTTTTAATATGTTCATATTGAATCTGTTATCTTTCTCTCCTGCTCAAGGCTGCTCTCCATCTAAGCAATGAGATCACCATCTAACCAGTTGCCATCAGAAGTCTCAGAGAATCCCTGACTCTTCTTTTATCTTCACCTCTTTATTCATCCTCCTGCTTGAGGATTAAATGAAATAAATGTGCAGTAAATACTAGCTGCTACTATATTTTCTTGGCCAAGTTATCCTTTAGCACTCATCTTCCCTAAGACTGAGACTAAGCAGGTTCCACTACTCTGCTGTCTAACCTGTGCCCACAACAACTAATAGTTCTTTTGCCATTACACCCATCAGAATGTATTTAATTATTTATTTAAATATTGTCTTCCGCATTAGATAATAAACTCCAGGAGGGCAGTGTGTATGTATTTCTTTCTTATTCACCGTCCTATGCCCAGTACTTTGATGAATATTTGTTTAATGAATGACTGTTTGGAAAATTAATGAGTGGCTCAAAAGGAAATTGTTAAACTAGGGAACAAAAATAACTTGTCAAGGAAATTATAACAGAGATTCAAGCAATACTTGGAAGTAGAGCTTAATGCCACTTATGTTTCTAAGATTCACCAATATTTTGTTTTATTCCACAAATACATAGATTCTATTTTATCAAATGAAAATGATTTTGCTTTATTAAAATTGCACATAAAAATAAAAAAGAATAATTATTTACCTTTGCCATAATATCTGCATAAGCCATATACAAAAAATCTTCCTCCAGTTTGCTATGGAAAACAAGAAACAAATACCATCAATTTTTAAGTAGAAGACTAGTCATATGCAAAAATATCATTATTGTATATAATAATATTTGCTTATTTTCAATGAATATGTTTTTTAAAATTAAATTAATACAAAATTTTGTTAATATTCATACAAAAATATCCTAGAATCAGAATGAAAGACCTCAAAGTTCTCAAAGACTCTCTCACCTTACCTTACAAAAGAGAGCTTCAAGACACACAAAATGAATGGTCTAATGGTTTACACAGACATGTAACAATTTTAATTTTTTCCAAGTACTTAATTTGAGATAAGCAAATATGAATGAGGTAGAGGCTTTGACAGCAGAAGTGACACATGACATTTTATGGGAAGACTCCCCAAATTATCATTTTACTATACAGTTAAAAAATTATATGGTCAATGGTCATCCTTAAAAAATAAGGTTAAAATATGTTTATTACTCTTTTTTAAGAAGTATGAAAAATAAATCTTATGAATGTTTTTTGTAATAAACTCCTAAAATTTGCAAAGTTGTTTCAGCAGTTTTAAACTTCAGCCATCAGAAAAATTCATTTATGAGAAATACCTCATTACCTGACAACGCCAGACAGAGGATTGCTCTACGCTTAGGGATGAGATGATTTTGTTAGTTAGGAAATAACGCGCGCGCGCGCGCGAGAGAGAGAGAGAGAGAGAGAGAGAGAGAGGGAGAGAGAATAGTGAGAAAGAAGATGGATCACATTAACTAAGGGAGAAATGTACATTATTATGGCATGCAAATGGTCAAATGAACTCTTCGAGACTTCTGAGGAGATTAATGTGGATAGAAACTGTCAATTAAATTACCTCCCAGGTTTTGCAGAGAATACGAGAAGCCTGGGGCAAAGTAGGCTTTCTTTCATACAGCATAGAAGCAGATAAAGGTTTTATAACCTCTGAAATGCTTCATCTACAGAGCTAATCTATAAAGTGTTTCCTGTAATGAGCAGAGACTAAGATCATTTTGATTATCAGGCACAGAAGTGTATTTATTATTTAACTGCATAGAGGTTTGCCCTTTGTGGTTTTGGTGAAATTTCATAACTAAGACTTCAGGAGCCAAGGAAAATGAGGAATACCCTTAAAACAGATCTTGGAGAAAATTCCAAGTTCAGATGCTGGCTCATCAGGTCCCCAAAGTTTTCTCAACCTCCATCCCACAGGGGATATACAGTCTACCTAGGATTTTGGATGAGCATCAATCTTCATATATTTTTGGTACTGGAATTAGCTTCAGGTTCTTTTATTTATAAAACTGTTTGTGATAAAGAGAAAAAAAATCATAAGAATCATAAACAACTAAATCAGCTAATAACCAAGTTGTTAAGAAAAATTAGAACACATAGGTATCCAGGCCTGAAATTGAATGAATAGCTAAGAGGAAGCAATGTGTCTATGTGTATTTTGAATTGGTCATTCTTTGAATAACTCTATTTCCTAATAAAGAGCTCTGGTGGTGCAGTGCCTAAGGCACTTGACTGCTAACCAGAAGACTGTGAGTTCAAACCCACCAGCACTCCTCAGAAGGAAGGTTGGGCAACCTACTTCCGTAGTGATACCACCTCAGAAACCCAAGGAGGGGTTGCTGTGGGTCAGGTCCTACTCGACAGCACATAACAACAACAACAACATTTCCTAACAAGAACAAGATGAAATTGAAACAGGAATACATGATACATAAAATACATTGACATGGAGTTTATGTGTCTGCTATGTCTCATATGAACCTTCCCAACCATACCATTTCTCTGTTAGAGCTGTTCGACTAAAGAGAAGGATCAGCTGATGTAGAGGATCAACTCTCTTGGTGCCTTCATCTTCTTCTGGAGGTTCTACGCCAGGTTTCTACAAAAAAAAGTCAAATTTATACAATTTTACCTTTAAATGAAATGTCCACTCAAATCCCAGTGAAATATGATAGCTAGAAACACAGAATAAAAAGATCCTTCTTTTTCTGCTGTGACATGTATGTGTATATGTGTGTATACGTTATCAATGTAAAACTATGTATCTTGAAATAGAGATATTTATAATTTAATGAAAAATTAGTATGGGAAAAGATGACTTACATTCATTTAAGACTTCTGAACGCTATTCTTATAAAGATGAATCATAACTAACTAAAAGAGTATTTGCTACACAAATTTTATTTTAGGGAGGGCTCAGTTTATGAAGATTCACAATAAAATGTTGTCACCTCAAGTATAAAAATCTAGTTCACATAGAAATGCAAACTGATTATGAAATGAGACGTTATTCACCCACACAAATAATGACAGTCAACAGATGTTAAATGAATTAATGCTTGAACATCTTCAATGTTATTTTTATTCCATTTTCAGTTATTTTTAAATTAAAAAACAAAAACTACTGGATAAAACTTTAACATCTAGGAAATCTAATAAAACCCACTGCCTTTGAATTGATTCTGACTGATAGTGACCCTGTAGGACAGAGTAGGGTTTCCAAGGCTATAAATCTTTACTGGAGCAGACTGCCTCATCACTTTCCTGCAAATGGGCTAGTGGGTTCAAACCACTGACCTTTTTGTTAGCAATTAAATGCCTTAGCAACTGCATCAGAGCTCCTTAGGAAATTTACGAGTCATTTTTAATGACTGCAGAATTAATTAATCTTGATTTTTTTGTTGTTGTTGTTGATTGTGCTACTGAACTGCACTTCTCCATTAACTTAGTCACTTATTTAGATTGATTTTCTCTCTAAATGAATGATTTCTTTCCCTGCTTTAAACTTAATGTTGTGAGTTCTGGGCAAATTTCTATAAGACTTCCAACTATTTCATGGGTTGTAGTATTCCCCATGATGAGACTGGTAATCAACTCCATGTTGGAATCTATTGTGAGCAGCTGAGTAGCTGCCTTTGGGTATGTTGTCTGCTTCCTGTACATAAGGAGAAGCTTTGAGAATGGTCTCTAGCCTATGGCAAGCTTGAACCCTGCATGTAGCTGTGCCATTGTTCAGCAGCCTGCCATGCTCTGCTGACCTTGGTACTTAAAATGGACTTAAGTTAATGGCCTGCCATGTGGTCTGGTAACACCGTGACTGTGCCTTTTTACTTGTCAACCTTGGGGCTTCTCAGGCTCAGCAGCCAGCAGCTGTCTGAGTGAAGAAATGCCTCTAGCTCCAGTGGGCCAGGAGAAGGAGGCAGAGCTGGACCCCAAGGTTGAGAGGCTTTCACCAGACCCTAGAGCCGGGCACTTTGAACTTGGACTTAAAGCCTCCAAATTATAAGAAAAAACTCCTGTTTGTTAAGACCATCCCATTTGTGGTATATTCAGAGCAGCACTAGGTAACCAGAACACCCCTAGACATCCTTCAAGTCTGGAATGGAACTCACCCATGTGGTTCAACTTTCAGCCAAATGATATAAGGTGAACAATAACACCATGCACTCATTAGAATGATCAACCATACAAGATCAAAAGGGCAGGCTCTGCAGGCAGGACAGGATAGGAAAGAAGGACAAGGGAAATGGTAAACAAAGGGAGGGTGTGGGAAGAGTGCTATTATATTGTGAGGATTGCAATCAATGTCAGAAAACAAAACAGATATGAATTGTTGAACAGAAAAGCAATTTGCTCTGTAAACTTTCACCCAAATCACAATTAAAAAACAAAACAAAACAAAACAAGTCTTAAAAGCAACAACAACAGTAAACGGATTTTTGAGGAATCATAGAAAGAGAGAGAGAGAGAAATGAAGTCTTCACACATGCATAAGCCTTGAAAAAATTATGCTTAGTGGAATAAGTCTGTCACAAAAGGACAAATATTGTATGATTTCACTTATATGAAATATCAAGTATAGACAAGTATACACAGGCTAAAGTTTATAAATGGTTACCATGGGTAAGTCAGAGGAGTAGGAAAGCAGAACTCATTGCTTAGGGGACAGTGAATTTCTGTTAAGGGTGATGAAAAAACTCTAAGAATATGATGAACAATCAATGTCACTAAACTATACATATGAAGATTATTGAAACAGCAAATGTTTTGTTACATGTATATTCACTGCAATAAAAAATAAACAAATAAATAAATAACTTTTAGACAAGTGGTTCTTAACTCGGGAATCAAGAGGACCCTGAACTAGTTTGCAAAATTTGTGGGACTCAAAAGGAAAAATATAGTATGATGTATCTAGAACAGGAAATGCATAGAGACAGTAAGGTATCAGTGCCTACAGAGGATGTCATGTTATCAGAAGAGATCATTCCCTGGAGAAGAATGTCATGCTTGGTAAAGTGGAGGGTCGATGAGGGACAGAAAGGCCCTCAACAAGATGAATGACACAGTGGCTGCAGCAATGGTTCAAATATAGCAAGGATCGTAGAGCTGGTGTGGGACAGGGAGTGCTTCGTGCTGCTGTGCATAGAATAGCTATGAGTTGGAGATGACTCGACAGCACCTAACAACCACAACAACACTGGGGATTGGGAGTAGGTGGCAATGGGGAATTATTGTTTAAGGGATTACTGGGTTTCTGTCTGGGATAATAAAAGAAATGTTGGAAATGGATCATGGTAACAATGACATAACTCTAACTATAATGAATATCATGAATTTTTGAAACAGCAAACTTTTTGTGATATTTTACACAAACACAAAAATTGTGAGATTGTGTGCCTATAAATTTTCCTAAGATGGCCCAACAACTTTGTCAGGTTTTAAACAAGCTCATGACATAAAAGGTTGAGCTGATCACTCCCACATGAACCACTTATCACACTTACCACAATCCTCCTTAACAATGTAGCTAGAGTAGCATTCTATGTGGCATGTGCTGCATTTATCAACACTGTCTACTGTTCTCCTGTTCAGTCCATTTCTCTGCCCTGTGGAGTTTTTAAAACCAGCAACTTTTCATCGGCTTGTGTTAATCTTCAGCTTAATTTTAGCCTTTTATAGTTCTATCCTGGTTCCAGAGTGTTTAAAAGTGCTTTGAGGAGTTTAAGAGAATAATTAGGTCAATGTTTAGTTATTAATAAACTTGTATTTTTCATCGTAAATTCCAAATTGATGCCGATGATATTGCTCTGAAACAGAATGAATTTCCTTCGAAATATTGAATACAGTAATATTTGAGATAAAAAGTTTCCTAAGACAAACATAGAAGCTCTGGTAGCATAGTGCCTAAGGCACTTGACTGCTAACCAGAAGGCTGGTGGTTCAAACCTACCAGCCACTCCTCGGAAGGAAGGTTGGGCAATCTACTTCTGTAGTGATGCTGCCTCGGAAACCCAAAGAGGGGTCACTATGAGTTGGGTCCGACTTGACGGCACAAAACAACAACAACAACAAGAGCAACATACTAAACTGATATTTTTCATTAATATTACATGAGAACTGCCCAAACCAACTTCACGCTGCCAAGCCAAAACCCTCTTTCATTTTATAGCCCCATTAAAAACATACTGCTAAATCTTCTATTAGTTTATCTTCAAAGTAATGTTCTTCTGTTTCAATCCAAGACTTTTCATATCCTTGAAGAAAAAGGTTGATAGCTCGATGCCTAGAAGATAAGCACAATTTCAAACAAAGGTTTTTTTTTTTTTTTTTAATTCAAAAGGCATTCAGTGGTTCTTATCATGAGATTATCTGTTTACTCAACTTTCTATTTTTGGCTGAGTAGACAACACATTGCAGTGGCTAGAACAAGGCTTCTGGGGCCACAGTGATATGGGTTTAAATCCTGGCTCAGTCATTTCTAAGCTCTGTAACATTAAGCAAATTATTTAACTTTTCCAATTTTCATTTTTCTCATATATAAAACTAAGACGATCTCTACTATATTTCAGTCTTGTGAGCCTTAAGATAAAGAATGACAAGTACATCAGATAGATGCTCTTGAGTAGTAGCTATATAAGTGGCTCTGATAAATAATGGAACAAGAGTCAATACAGGCATGATTCTATGTTCCAGTTAACAGTAGATGCAAACCCGAAGGATGTCAAAACAAAATATATTAAGTGAACAAACAAAGAAACAACGCACTGCTGTCAAGTTGATCCAACTCATAGTGACCCCTCCTTCAGTTTTCAAGGTGGTATCACTATGGAAGTAGATTGCCCAACCTTTCTTCCGAGGAGTGGCTAGTGGTTTTGAACTGCCAGCCCTCTGGTTAGCAGTCAAATGCCTTAGGCATGATGTCACCAACCAAACCAAACCAAAGGCACTGCCATCGAGTCAGGATCTGACTCACAGCGACCCCTCCTTGGGTTTCCAAGTCGGTATCACTATGGAAGTAGATTGCCCAACCTTTCTTCCAAGAAGTGGCTGGTGGGTTTGAACTGCCAACCTTCTGGTTAGCAGTCTAATACCTTAGGCACTATGCCACCAAAGAGGGGAATATATATCCAATAATTAAATTTTAGGAGAGTGATGGTAAGCAGTCTATGAAATAAAAGACCAGTGAAGACTAGAAGAATCAGAGAAAACCACTGAAGTAGATGAAAGATTAACAGTGGATAATTCAAGTGAGGCCAGTGTTTGATTCCACTGAAATGAGCTTAGCCTTTGAACTCTCATCCTGTATTCTCTAAAAAGGAAAATAACCTAATAGGTGTGGACCTTCTCCTTTTCCATAGTCTCCAAGGCAGACACTGTTTAAGCACAAGACATAGGTAGCATTTGTTTGTTTATTTTGTTTTTTGGGGGATTTTTTCTTCTTACTTCCTGTCTTCATTGATTATTTTATTCATTCATTTACTCACTGCCAGTGGACTAGATAGCCTTCTAGGTTCTGAGGATATAAAATTGAACAAAACCCTAAAGGATCTCAATGTCTGAATCAGAAGGACAAATAGTTCCAGGACCAAAGTAAACTGCTACTACTAAAGGTATGTATAGGAGCTCTGGTAGCATAGTGGCTAAAAGCACTTGACTGCTAACCAGAAGGCTGGCGGTTCAAACCCACCAGCCACTCCTCGGATGGAAGGCTGGGCAATCCTACTTCCGTAGTGATACTGCCTCGGAACCAAGGAGGGGTCGCTATGAGTTGGGGCCGACTCGGAGGCACATAACAACAACAACAACAACAACAAAGCTATGTATAAATATGTCCTGGAAACAAATAGGTAGAAGTGTACAAATTGAGAGGGGTAGGAGGGTGTGGCTTGGTTAGAAATGTTTCATAAAGGGTATAGCTGAGCTCTGGTAGTGTAGTGTCTAAGGCACTGGACTGTTAACCAGAAGGCTAGTGGTTCAAACTCACCAGCAACTCCTCGGAAGGAAGATGGGCAATCTACTTCCATAGTAATACTGCCTCGTAAACCCAAGAAGGGGTTGCTGTGAGTTGGGTGCGACTTGATGGCACATAACAACAACAACAACAATAGCTGAGCTGAGTCCTGTGTAGCAGGCATTGGAATTATGCACTTGTATCAAATTTAGAGTGTGAAAGCACAGTTTGTGGGAGAACTACAAGACTGAATTGATATATTTGGTCACCAAGCCAGATTTGGATGCACCAGGGCACCAGGTTATGTCTCTCTTAATGGCTATGCCTGCTATACCTCTAAGAGAAGTTTGTTGGTATTTATTTGCATTATTCCCCTAAGTCAGTTCCATATCAACTCTTCTCCCTGAATGCTAACAATCATAAAAATAATAACAATAACTAACACTTATTATGTCAAGCACAGTTCTAAGCACTCTGTATACACTGAACAATTAAATAATCCAAACAGCTCTATGAGGTAGGCCTATCATTGCACTGACAGGAATACTACAATAAAGTTGGGTAAGTCACTTGACTTATGCCACACAGCCAGCAAGCTGAGATTCCAGAACTAAAATTCAAGCAATTTGACCCTAAAGGATGAGTTCCCAATTACACCATCTTGTCTCACATAGGTAAGCAGGTCTTCCTTGGTGTTTAAGTCATTTCATAACTGCATTGCAGACCACAGTTCTCTGTGAATATCCAGCAAAGAACAAGAAGATCAAATCTTATACAGAAGAACAGTAAACCATTCTCATCCTTCTCTTGGGCTATTGGATTCATGTTCACTTAGAGGCTACATTCTTATCCCTTATTAGGGAAAATAAGTATAATCTATTATAAACATGAAAAAAATTCTGACCTTGGTAGATTGTATAAGGGAGCCATTCGGAAACAGGCTACGACTGCTCTTTTTCTCTGCTTAGAGAGCAGCTTGTGCCACACGGCCTTTTTAGATCTCTGAGGATGTTCCACCTGAGGTAGAATGACATAAACAAACACATAAGTAAATATTTTACACCAAACTAGCCTCAAAAATATAGTACTTAACAGTTGCACTTTCAAGCTAACCTGCATTTAGCATTCCAATTCCAAAAGGACCTTGAAGTTTTTATGGAAAATTCCATGTCCTAACAATTGCTCAATGCTAAATTTGAGGTAGCTTCAAATGCTGTGCAATTTTTCCAGTAAAAATATCATATTTTCCCCAATACTGTGCACATTAGAAGCTATGTCATCTTTAAAAGCATGGAAGTATAAAAACATTGTGTATAAAATTACTTTGTATGTTTCTTAAAATTTCTTTTATCTTTTACATTCTAGTTCTAAAACATTTTTCTGCCTACATAAAAAATTACTCCATTTTATACATGCGTCCATTGCAACAAATTTACCTTTGGAGATATAGTGGTAAACATGAATAGAGGTGATTTTAGAAATTCTAATGATAATTCTACTGCTTCTTAATATAAGAAGATGAGTAGAAGATGACAAGGCTTCATGGACATAGTACTAGAAGTGGGTAAAAGGATTTAATTTTCCAGAAATGTTAAAATACTTATACTATTTTTGTTAGGTACAAATGAGATTTCAAAGAGTTACAATAAATGATGCAAGCAAGCTCTATTTATTAGCTAATGGTGTTTGGAACTGCAAGAGGAAAGGAGATTAGTTATAAGTATGAGAGAAGAAAATCCCAATATGAATCTAAAATTAATTAGTAATTTCTAGGCAATTAAACACTGTACTTCCCAGACTGTAATATCTCTGGCCCGTACATGTAGATTTCTGCAAGAAAGAAAAATGATTATGTTGACTAAAAAGTAAAACTAAATATATTATCCTTTGTGGTATTAAAAGGGTCAAAATATGAACATAACACTGCCTGAAGAAAACATTAAGAATGTTTGGAATACAATGGCTTAGAGATGCTAAAGAACCAATTTGTTTATGTTCTTGTTATTGTGTGCCATCTAATTTATTCCAACTCATAGTGACCCCATGTGACAGAGTAAAACAGTCTCATAAGATTCCCTAGGTTGTACTTTTTATGGAAGCAGATCACCAGGTTTTTTCTTCCATGGAGCTGATGGAGGGTTCAAACCACCAACCCGTCATATAGCAGCTAAGTGCTTAACTACTAAACTAACTTATTCCTGTGATCCTCTCTCCCAGAGAATCAATTGTCCACTTCAATTTTCTTCTTCATAAGTGTGTTCAATGAAAATACATGTTGTTGAAACTGAACATTATAGGTGAATGTAGAATCAAGGATAGTGTTCCTCAAGTAGGCCCAACACATTTCAACTTAAAGTTCCATTATGACATCCCAGATGATACGTAAATGGTAGCTTTTTATGGGAATAAGCCATCCTGATCAGCATGAATGACAGTCATGATAAATATTGATTGCCTAGGCTTTGGAGAGAGAATAATGAGCAGTTTAGAAAAGATCCCTGCCATCATGAAGTTTATCATTTGGTAGAGCATTTTATTATACAATGAAAAACCTTACATAGTGATCTTTGTAAATCAAGTAAACAGATACATGTCAAATTTGTGATTTAAACGGTAATACTAAATTGATCTTGAAATTGTCTGAATGGTTCCATGTGTGAATGTGTTAGCTTGGTTAGAGTTTGAATTTTAGGAAATTCTAAGGAGACAGCCCACTCTAATGAGATAAATTCAACTCAACTCACTGCCGTTGAGTCGAATCTGACTCATAGAAACCCCTCTTTGGGTTTCTGAGGTGGTTATCTCTATGGAAGTACATCGCCCAGTCTTCCTTCCAGTGAGATTAATTAGTAGAGGTATAATGCAAAATACATATTTTAAATGGTTGCTTATATTTGAGATAAATTAAATCAACAAATATTTACGTGTACCTACTGCTTTTGCATTCAGCTTAGCAAATTTAAGATTTTCTTTGCAAACTATTCTGACTCAATTACAAATGAACATGAACATGAATATTAAATAAATGAACAAAGATATTGTTTCTTGTTTTCTAGTCTTTGATAACTGATAATTTCCTTTTCACTCAAAAATCTTCCTTTTAATCAAACCAACCTCACCATATTTAGTAATTAAGAGTATTTGGCCTTAACTAAAGGAGCCCTGCCAGCACAGTGGTTAAGTGTTTGGATGCTAACCGAGAAGTCAGCAGTTTGAACCTCTAGCCAAAGAAGAAAGATGTGGCAGTCCACTTCCATAAAGATTCATATTCTTGGAAACACTATGGGTTTATTGCCTTATAGTGTCACTAAGAGTTAGAATCCACTTGATGGCAGTGGGGTTTTGGTTTGAGTTCTTAAATAAAATCTGACACTTATCTTTTCTTATAAAACCAGTTATTGAGTTCACTGACTCATGGCAACTCCACGCATATCAGAGTAGAACTGTGCTCCATAGAGTTTTTCAATAGCTTCAATCTTTCAAAAGCAGATCTCTAGGCCTTTCTTCAGAGGCACCTCTAAGAAGACTCAAGCCAAACTTTCAGATAGCAACCAAGCACTTTAACTCTTTATACCACCCAGGGACTTTTACCTTTCCCTAGATAACCCCTATTTATCTTTTAAGATTTACACACAGATTACCTACTTCACACCTAGATTAAGTTTGGTGTCCCTTGATAACCTTCTTCAGACAATTTAATATCCAAATACACCTATATTATGACATATTTATCTTTGTTTGAGTCCATGTCCTTTTCCAGAACATGAGAGTGATGATATAACCACAAGTACCTGCTGAGTATAAAACTGACATATCACATGCAAAGTTCAAAGGATAAATGCATGCTGGTTGTTGTTATGAAGAGCTATTAAACTGTATCCCATTCATAATGGCCTTGTGTACAACAGAATGAAACATTGCCTGGTCCTGTGCAACCCTGACAATCGTTGTCATACTTGAGTCCACTGTTGCACACTGTGTGAATCTATCTTGTTGAGGTTTTCCCATTCTTTTATGATTCACTAATTGACCGTGCATGATATTCTTCTCCAGGGACTGAACCCTCTTGATAACATGACCAAAGTGTTAAGAGACAAAGTCTGGCCATTCTTGCTTGTAAGGACCATTCTAGCTGTACCTCTTCCAAGACCTCTTCCATTCTTCTATCAGTTCATGGTATATTCATTATTCTTCACCAACACCACAATTCAAATGTATTGATTCTTCTGCAGTCTTCTCTATTCACAGTCCAGCTTGAAAATGTATACAGGGCTGTTGAAAAGGTGTGTGTGGTTCAGGCACACCTTACTCTTAAAAATGACATCTTTGCTCTTTACCCTTTTAAGAGGTCTTTTCCAGAAGATTTGCCTCATTGCAAAACATCCTTCTATTTCTTGAGTGCTGCTTCCATTGGTATTGATTGTGAATCCAAGTAAAATGAAATCCTTGACAACTTCAACCTTTTCTCCATTTATCATGATGTTGCTGATTGCAGCAGTTTTGTTTTTTTTTTAAATTTTATTTTATTTATTGTGATTTGGGTGAAGATTCACAGAGCAAATTCACTTTCCATACAGCAGTTCACATATACTTTGTCTCATGTCCTTGACCACAGTTTACAATGTAACAGCTCCCCTCCCACTTTCTCCCCATAGTTACCTCTTCCCAGTGACCATCCCTCCATACTCTCCTGAGCCCTGAGCTGTCTCCCTGTGCATAAGCAGCCCTTCCTTCTCCCATGATTGTTCTCTCCAGGGCATGTGTCTACTTGAGGTAAATGTTTAATTCACAT